TTTTAAAATATTAATTAAAAATTATATAATAAGTAAAGATAAATATTAATTAATATTTAACATTATATAATCAATATTTACAATAAAGATTCAGGGTAATCATGAATAACTTGGAATATCACAAATTGGCAAATAGACATGAGTTTTTATATGTGTCTCTCCTCTTATTGCCGATAAATTATTAATTTGCACCTGGAAGTTGTTTTTCAAATTACATCTATACTTAACAGCTCTATAGTTTAAGGGTGGGGAGAGTAAGGTTTTTACACTACCCTTACTTCCCATCCCTGAAACAAATCCAAATTCTTTTTCATAACTACAATACACAAGAATAAAAGATGAGATGCTGTCGATGAGATGCTGTCTATTTTCTGAGTTCRAAAACAGGATGCATTGTGGTCTAGGTTGGGTACAAACATTACCATATAAGGCATGGTGAACAAAATATCTTTGTACTCAARCTAGACCAYAATGSACCATGTTTGCTATCTCAGAACAGGTCCATGGGAGTAGACAGTATATTCATGTGGACTACTAGCCCCTCCCTCCCTCCCTCTCCTTTTTTCCCCTCGTCCCCTCCTCCACAGGCCTCCACTCCTTCCCCCCTCCCCCCCTCCAATTTGGACCACTACGCAGGTTAGTGAACTGCAGGCATTAAACACCAAATCATGCTATCATGCTGGGATTGCGTGGGTGTGCCACTGGTACTCTTGGAATGATTCAGTGAGCCAATGAAGGAGTAGCAGTATATACAGCACAAATACATCAAAAGATATCCCACAATCTATTTACATAAATATGATATTTCCATTAAATACTGACTCAATCCACTTTCAACTATGGTTAAATGGAAGATCTTTGCAGCAAAAAAAAAACTTGAAACTTTCACCCCACCTCACCCCGAAAAGTGCAAGACATTTGTTTAAATGGAAAGTGGATTGGCATGCCGATGACCAATACAATGTTTTTATAATGTTTTTATAATGATGTTACTTGCCTGTTTGTACAGCTGGAGTAACAACACTCGTGGATTTAGATGTTCCACAACCCATGATCTGATCAAAATAAATAACCTATGAATTATATAGTTTTTCAGTTTAGAAAATAAGTAACTTTATAATGAATTGAACTAAATAACTGTAGTACATGCAAGGAGCAGCAACAACAACAGCAGCAGCAACAACAGCAGCAACAGCAACAACAGCAGCAACAACAACAACAGCAGCAACAACAACAACAGCAGCAACAACAACAGCACCAACAACAGCAATAGTGGCAATAACATCAAAAACAGTAACATCAACCGAGCATATAACAAGAGCATCAGCAACAACAATAACAGTAGCAACAACAGCAGCAACAGCAGCAATAACAACAACAGCAGCAGTGCAACAACCACAAAAGCAGCAGCAGCAACAGCATCAGCAACAGCAGCAAGTTTGAACAACAGCAGAAGCAGCAATCAAAACTGCACAGTCATAACAACATCATCTATAACAAGAGCAGCAACAGCAAAAACAACAATGCAGCAGTACCAACAGCAGCAGCAGCAACAACAATAGTAACAACATCAATGACAGCTCCGTAACAACAACAATTATAGCATTTATAACAAAAGTAGCACCTACAACAACAACAGTAAGGGTAACAACAACAGTAGCAGCAACAACAGCAACAGTCCTGAACAACATCAATGGCTGTTCTGTAATAACAAGCACATTAATAACAAGAGTAGCAGCAGCAACAATAACAGTGACACTAGCAACAACATCTACGCAATTCTGCGACAACACCCACATCAATTTTTCATTTGCACATGACATTATAGCTGCCAGCTTAGATGAATTTAACAAAAGACTTGTAATGAATTTTTTAATCATATTCTCCATYGTGTCTTTTATTATTTGACTCCCTTGGAAAGGATTGAAAACCAGCAACAAGTGTAGCATCAGCATTACAACAGCAGCAGCAGCAACAACCAGCAGCAACAAACATGAACAGCTAATTAGCTATTAGTTACTTTAAAAAGCAGCCCTAAGATTTTCTTCAAAATTCACTAAAATATAAATTCAAGACGCCAGTCTAAAAAAAAAAAACTTGAAAAGTGCCTTGCAAAAATCTAACATATATTTTAAATACGAACTTTTTTCCAATAATTTAATTTTAAAATCTATCTTCACAATGAACAGCGTAAAAAAAACACAACTGCAAGAGATATTCGTAAGCAATTTTAAGAAAACGAAGAGAAAACAAAAGAATTGWAAGAAAAAATCTTACCTTTTCCAACAGCTGACAGACTTCAAAGAATTCCGAAAAACTTTTTTCGGCAAAAAACAAGCATTTTCTTCAAAAATAGAAAATTCCTTACATAGCAATTACTTTAAGCTTTCTATGTTTACAATAATCTCTCAGARATGGCTAAATTTTGTATCGTATTCTTGCATTTTTTAACTAATTTTGCGAGAAAACTTCAAATTAACTCAAGTTCGCCGCCATTTTCTTGGTTGCCTTGACAACGGTTTGATAAATGAGCGGGACCTGGGCAGAGCGCTAGTTTTTAAGGTAGCAGTAGACTAAATCTTCGGAGCGTTGCTAAGGACAAGATTGATTCATGAATCACATTTTCCCTTTAATATCAATATTTATTAATTACACTTGCTTTTTTTAAGTCAGGGAAGTGGTGGTCGTAAATATAACTGTGTTTTCTTTTAAACTAGCTTTTATAGAAAAGGACTTTAAAAAAATATTATATACAATACGAAGTGCAATATATATACGCTAAAAATTATTCCGCATTTAACAAAAATTTCAACTGCACCATCTTCCGGTTAAGGTCCCGTTTTGCAATTTTCTCAGAAATTTGTCTCACAGTGCTTGAAAATGTAAGCGTTGCAAGTTGCCTTGTGTTACACTGCAACGAAATCTCAAATCTCAGGACGTTGACAAAATTGTTGTTAAAATTGAGAGAAAATTTGTTGCATGGTAATATATTGTGCAATGGCGTCGCCAGTTGCTGCAATTCGTTGCGAAAAGTAGAGCTGAGTTCTTATTCGTGCAACACTAAGTGCAAAAAATAAAAAAAAATTTTAAAATCTTAAACTGTGTAATTCTAGATTCCAGACCGTGTGAGACTGGCYGGGATTTTCCACGTGACGTGTTCATTCTCGCAAGGTAAATAATTCATATATAGTCATCCTTTTGTTCTTTATAATATTTTCCTCCTTAGAACAAATTGATTTTAAACACATGAAGTATTAACCTGACCAATACTAATCTA